ATGGGTTTTATTACGGGTTTACCTAAAACTCCATCTAGCTATGATTTCATATAGGTAATTTGTTGATAGGTTAACCAAGTCGGCTTACTTTTTAACTATCAAGGTGAATGATCTACTTGAGAAGCTAGCACAACTTTACATGGATGATATAGTTAGGTTACATAGGGTGTTAAAGAGCATTGTGTCAAATTGACACCCTCGGTTTTCTTTAAGGTTATGGAGAGCACTCCAGGATGCTATGGGACTCGGTTAAATTTTAGCATCGCTTACCATCCTCAGACTGATGGGCAATCTGAAAGGACCATTCAAACACTCAAGGATATGTTGAGGGCTTGTGTGATTGAGTTGAAAGGGAGGTGGGATCGACACCTGCCACTTACAAAGTTTGCCTATAATAACAACTTCCACTCAAGTATTCAAATAGTGCCTTATGAGGCATTATATGGGAGAAAGTGTAAATCTCCTCTTTGTTGGACAGAGCTGAGCGAACGAAGCTTGTTAGGCCCAGATTTAGTGGACCAAACTACTCAAAAGATTGAGATGATCAAGTAGAAACTACTCACAGCTCAAAGTAGATAGAAAAGCTATACAGACAAATAAAGGCGACCATTGGAGTTCATGGTGGAGGACCACATTTTCTTAAGAGTTACACTTATGACCAGCATTGAAAGAGCAATCAAAGCTAAGAAGTTAACTCCCCATTTCATGGGTCCTTATGAAATTCTTGAGAAGATTGGACTAGTAGCTTATCAAATTGCCTTACCTCCACAATTGGTGAATATCCATAACATCTTTCATGTGTCACAGTTGAAGAAGTATCATTTGGACCCCTCCCACATTATTGAACCTAAAAAGATTGAGCTCAAAGAAAACATGACCTATAGAGTATAGCCAGAATGAATTGTAGATGCAATAGATAAGCAATTGAGGAAAAAGACCATCAAGCTAGTAAAGGTGGTATGGAAAGGAATGGCTGCAGTTGATGTAACTTGGGAGACTGAGGAAAAGATGAGGGAAGAACACCCATTTTTGTTTGAATAGGTATGAGTTGACTTGCACCTTAAATTTTGAGGACAAAATTTCTTTAAGGAGGGGAGAATTTATAACACCCTAAATTTTATTGGGCTTTAGTGTATCCATAGGCACCTTAAAATGGACCTAGGATTAAGTATTAGGCCTAAAAAGGTAAGACAGTAAATATACATACATACATACATACATACATATATATATATATATATAAATGTTAATAACTAAAGTAATTAAATTTAACAAATGTTTAAAATTAACTTTTAAAAAAATTAATTAAAATAATAATATTTAGATAATGTTGTTAAATTTTGAAATATATCATATCCTCTTAAAATTATCTTGACAGATATAGGTATTTAAAAAATAATAATAATAACAAGGAAATAAAATAATTATTATAAGCTTAAATGTATATACATAGTGAAAAACTTACCTCTATATTTATTTAGTTTCATTCACTCTTCCCTAGATGCGGCTGCCTACTGTTTCTTAAGAACTCTCTCTCGCAGGTATTCCTCTTTGTCTTTCCTCCCATCTCTTTCGTTTTCCTCTTCCTGTGCCTTATACATATATATAAGGAATATATGCTCACACACACAGTACATGAAAAGTCCATCACGTCATTCCTCCCTTCTACTTTTCTTTACTCTGGCCTTTAAACTGTATACATATATAATATTAGTTCTCCTTCCTCACATGTCCTTTGCTTTTCAAGGGTGATCTATCTCATATTTTACATGTTATACACTTGGTTTTTGACATCAAATTGTGCATAATAGGGTTTAATTTCTAGTTTTGAGTTGTCATTTTTATATTAACTCTATGAACCCTAATAATGCTATTTGATGATTGTTTTGACACTTTCATACCCTAATTGTGATCTTGGGCCTTAATTCTCTTTTCTTTCCTTTTTAATTGTCTTTTCAGGATTTATTTAGTTTTGTATCTTTTATTTTCAGACTCTTGAGGAAGCAAATTTGGAATCAAGGAGCAATGACTAAAGTCAACCTCATTGGAGAATTCAAGAGCAAGAGAGAGAGGGCTTATTTGGAATTTTAATTCTAGAATTGAAGAGGCTGTGATATTGGCACCTAATTTCAGAAATTAATTGGAGGAATTAATTAAATAAAATATTAGGAGCATGTGTGTGACTTTGTGCGTGACTCAAATCTGATTTCAAGAAGCATTGCATGACATCATCAAGGGAAAACAAGGAAGCATTTGGTGCGTGATATAATGCTGATTCAAAGAAGGCATTGGGTGACATCATCATGAGGATTAACCAAGAATATAAGATGCGTGACTTCATAACTGAATCCCTGAAGAGTTACGTGGCAGCTGGCTGAAGCTTAATTGAAGTCACATGGTCTACACTTCATTCACAATTTCCATGCTTCCTTGTCCAGATCAGATTGGCGCCATTCTTCCTCTGATTTTCCAGAATTATTTGCTCAATTTTTAATTCATTTTCCAGCTCATAATTAGCCACATTCAGATCTGGAACTTTGGTTTCATCACCATTTAGCTTTGGAATTATCAACCATTCACATTATTCACACATACATAAGCCTAGATTTCAGACTAGAGTCTCATTCTACACATTGATCCTCTCTCTCTAGGTCTGATTTCTCTCATCTCCAGCCTCCACAATTCACGCCATTCCTCAAGTATTGGGAGTTCCAGATCTGGTTCTCCTCCATTTCCAGCTCCAAGTTCGTTTTTCCAGCATCAATTCCTCATCCAATTTCGTTTTTCTTCCATCCTTAATCCAGATTGTTCATCAAGTGTTCATTATCAATTCCATCATTCCAGATTTGTTCCTTCATTTCCTTCATCATTTTTTCCTTCAATTTTCGTTCATGTTCTTCCATTGCCCAGACTTGTTTCTTGTCTCTCCTCTTTGATTCTTCCACCTTGTGTCATTCTCTTCCCCATTCTTCATCAATTTCGTTCCTCATCTTTCCAATTCCAGCATTAATTTCGTCCATATTCAGTCACATATTTTCCAGATTCAAGATGTCTTCTCAAGCTCAAGGTCTGATTCAAGCAAAGAGGAAGAGCATGAGAGGCTGATCATTTAGAGCTCCAAGAAAGATGACTTGACATTATGAGATTTCCAGATTTGTAATTGTTGTTCATTTTCTTGATTTCATGTTCTTGTCTTGATTCTTTGAGGATTTCGAATTTTGAACCTGTTTTGGTTGAAGACTTTGTGATTCTAATTCAGATTTGATGAGAATATGAATGTTGAATTTAGATTTTCATGCTATTTTCAGTTCTGGAATTTATGATTTACCTTGATGTTCTAGGGTTATTTCATAAGTTCTTGCTGATTCTTGTTCAAGTTCTTGTGTAGACTTGAGTTAGATCCATATTGGTTATATGAATTTGACTTAAGCTGTTTTTCTTCCACTAGTTTTGGTCTGAAACTTTTGTAGAACAAGGCTGAATATAGTGTTAATTTCTAAGTTCACTTGACCTAGATTCATTAGTGTCCATTGAGTCTAATGGTGCACCACACTTAGAGGTTTCTAAGTGTCTCATTTTAGGTTAATCAAGAAGGTTTATGATGTTATAATTCTGAAAATCAATGATTAATGTTAGGAAATCTGACTTGGGCTCACCATAATCATCATTCATTTCATTCCAACTAAAACAGAATTTTACAAACATTTATTGTTGTATTATAGAGTTAGTTTAGTCACTTGAAAATTTAGATTAATTTGTAAGCATTTGAACAATGATTTGTATGCTTTGCTCTCTAGGGAAATGACCTAGAATACTCACTTCTACATTCTAGTAAAATTTGATAACCCAAGGCGACTAAAGGATTCATCAATTGGCGCCGTTGCCGGGGAGCAACTAGCCATACTAATTGTGGTTTCACTTGCTGTTTTAATTTGCTTTGCATTTTGGCTTAATTCTGGAATTTGTGTTGTGGTGGCTGACTTGTGTTTTCTAAGCATTTGATCACTTGTTTGGTCTGTTTGCTTCTGGATATAGTCACCATAATATTGATTCTGGACGTGCAAGCCAAATCTGTCAAGGTTAGCTCAAGTGCCAGCAAGCGGTGAGAATTTGCTCTGCCCAGAAATTTTGCACGAAATTTGGACAGGTATAATTTTCGTTAGACATATCATTTTGAGCTGATTCTTGTTTCATTGTGTTCCTGGTTATCTTAGAAACATTTTTTCTGTTGAACATAATTTCTAATTCGGCCATTAAGTTGGTTGAATTTTTGCTTGACTGAAACAGGGTTCACTGGAATTTCCAGTGCTGCTGACCCTAATTCGAAAAAAAACTGGGAAGAATTAACTGCGAATTTTTGCTTGAAAATTGGACTGTATAACCTTCTGTGTTTTGAAAGTTTCAGGTAAAAATTTCAGCTCAATTTGATTCAGGACCAGAGAGTTGTGCACTGAACAAGCACATAAGGTCCACAGCTGACTTCCAGTGACACTCCAGGCAGACAGGGCTAACTTTGGATGAGCATATCTCTTTCCCTGTTTGGAAATTTTGTTTATAAAAATTCCTGCATTTAATTCAGTGTTTTAGCTTTAAATTTTTAGTTTTGAGTTTTTGCTAATTTTGTCTTTTTCACGTTCGAAAAATTTTTACAAAAATACTGCCTCAGTGTGTTTCAATTCTGCCAGTTTTCAGAATTTTTGCCTACTTTCGAATTTTTGATTTTTCTTTGGTCCAGTGCTATTTCTGTGGTGTTTTGAGCTTTATATGTCTTGTAGAACTTGCAAAGAACTTGGTGAAAATTATATTGAATTTAGAGATCAATACTTAGAGTTCTTAGCATCTTCTTCTCTTCCAAACCATAGTTGATAATTCTGTGATTTTGGACAGTATGGCTGATAGATTGCATGGTAATGAACATGAAATACCTGCTAGGAGGAGTATTAGAGAGATGGTAGCACCCACTGACACATTTAGACCTAGTGGCTTGTTTTTGAATTTACAAGAACAAAATGAATATGAAATCAAACCTTCATGATTAATGCTTTGCCAAAATTCCATGGCCTTGCAGGTGAGGATCCTAATAGGCATCTTCAAATACTTGAGAGGGTTTGTTCAACCATGAAGCCTCCCACAGCAAACTTGGAGAATTTGATGCTCAAGGTCTTCTATTTTACTCTTGAGGACAAAGCAATCACATGGTTCAATACTCTTGCCACAAGGACCATCAATTCTTGGGTGGAGATGCGAAATTGCTTCCTTGAGAAATATTTTCCAGCAACCAAGTATTCTCAACTAAGGAAGCAAATCATGGGGATTCAACAACACCCTCAAGAATCTCTTTATGAGTATTGGATGAGGTTTCTTGAGTTGCTTGCAAAATGTCCATACCTAAATGTGGGCAAGGAGTTCCTCATTGATTATTTCCATGTGGGGTTGCAAATTCATGATAGAGAGACCATAGATGCTGCTGCAAATGGATCTCTATTAGATCTTCCACCGGATGATGCATGGACCTTGTTGGAAAAGCTTGCAAATAATAACCAACAATATAGCTCAAGAGATGCAAGGGGTGTTCACCAAGTGGGCCAATCTTCTATTGCTAATTCCCAATTGGAGGATATCTACTCTCAATTGGATTTTCTCAAGATGTCTATCTCCAATCCTCCACAAGCTCAGATTGCTTCTATGTCCAATGCTCTAGTGGCTCCTATTTGTGGTATATGCAATTCAACAATGCATATCACCTCTAATTGCATGCATGCTCAAGATGTTGGGGCTGTGTATCAACAACAAAAGCCCTACAATTATCAACATAATCAAGGGGCAAGGAACAATTTTGAGGCTAACTATGGGAGCACATATAACCCAAGTTGGAGGCAGCACCCTAACTTCAGCTACAAGGGTAATCAAGAGGTTGTGCAAGCCAAGAATTCTCAAGTGATCCCTATTCAAGATGGTGGAGGTGATAAACAAATGTATTCCTACCTTGAGAGGATGGGTGATGCTATGTTTTCTATGGGCCAAAAGTTTGATTCTCATGTGTCTAGGGCAGAATCAAAAATGGACATGATGCTTAAGAGGCTAGACAATCTTGAATCAAAGCAACAAAGCACTGATTTGGTGGTACAACAATTTGGGAATTCAAATAGCATTAGCCAAGCTCAAGGAAGTGGAAAGCTCCCAACTCAACCTGTCATCAATCCAAAGAGCCTTAGTGCAATTGAGTTGAGGAGTGGAAGAGTTCTTGAAGCCATTCCAAGTGCCTCAAACCATGGTGGCAGCAAGCCTAATGAGGTTATTTCAAGGAATTCTCAAATTTGTGAAGGAAGTCCACTTTCTCTTGCTGTTTCACGTGATTCCACTTGCTGTGATAGCAAGCTAAATGTGCATCCAAGTGCCTCACATAGCCTCAACAACATGACTTCTATTTCTCTAAGTCCTCAAGTGATTGATGATGAGGATGACTCTATTGAAGAGATTGTAGTTGAGGATGCAAATGGGGCAAGATCAGCCCTGAATGCTCAAGAAAAAGAGGTGAAATTGAGCTCAAATCAAGGCCAAGATAGTGCTGGAACAGCCACTGTTCATCCATCTTCTAAGGCAAATGAGAATGATTCAAGCAAGCCTAAGGAGAAAGAGGTGTTGGGAAGAAGAGAGCCTCCAAAAGAATATCAAATTGGGGACCCTATTCCAAGGGATATGCCATTCCCTAAGGCCTTGACTAGATTTGCTAAGAAAGGGCAAGAAGAAGATAGGCATGATGTGTTTGATATGTTGAAGAAGGTGGAAGTGAACATACCACTTCTTGAGATGATAAAAAGCATGCCTAAGTGTGCAAAGTTTTTGAAGGAGTTGTGCACTAATAAAAGGGGATTCAAACCATTGGCTACAGTTCAAATGAGTCCTAATATTAGTGCTGTCTTCAAGCCACAACTCCCTCTAAAGTGTAGAGATCCGGGGGCATGTACCATTCCTTGTCAAATAGGGAATGTGTTTGTTCAAGAAGCCTTGATTGACCTAGGGGCAGCTATCAATGTGATGCCCACTCACATTTATTCTTCCCTTAATCTTGGTGGTCTTCAAGATTGTAGTGTCATCTTGCAACTAGCCGACCGGAGCACTAGGAAGCCTAAGGGATTCTTGGAAGACATCTTAGTGAAGGTCAAGGACTTGGTTTTTCCAGCAGATTTTTATGTGTTGGACATGCAAGAAGGAGGTCAAGGCACACTCATCCTTGGGAGACCTTTTATGATGACATCAAGTACTATATTGAACATGAAGGAAGGTAAACTTACCATGGAGTTTTTGGACAGCAAGATTGAATTTAACATATTTGATAGCTTGAAAAACTCTTATATTGATTACAGCCTTCATTTTGTGGATTGCATTGATGATACACTTGATGGAATCATTGATGAGATTTCTATGCATCCTAGCTTGGATGATGTTGCATCTTTGCCTAGCTTCACTTGTTCATGCACTCATGACTCTATTTGTGTGAATTGCAATAACATAGTGTTAATTTTGTCTAATTTGAAATCTCAAGATGAATTGCATTCACTTGAGCATGAGCATTTGAATGGCAGCACACTTGACATGCATCACTCATCTACTTGCACTCCATTTGAAGCACTTGTGTTGTCTAGTTCCTCACATGACCAAACATATGCTTCCTTGAGTGATTTGCTTGCATTAGATGAGTTTGATGATTTGAGTATCAATTCTGGAAATTCTGTTGATTTAGTGATTGAATCAAGTGATGAGAGTGAAATTGCATCTAATGATGGCCCTAGTTCATCTTCCACATGTCATTTTGCATCACATCATTTGATTTCTTCTAGTGAATTTAATTCTGGAATTTTTGACAGCTTTGATCCTTTTGTGCCTAATCATTCTCCAAGGTTGGAGGAGTGTTCTACTTGTGATGTTTCAGGTTTAGGGACACTTGAAAGGCATGAACAAAGTGATTTTGGGGCTGTTAATGATTCAAGAGGCGTGCAAATTGGTGCTGAAAGTCCAGAATCAGATCTAGCCAAACCTGGAATTAATTCTGGAGCAAGCCAATCAGATCTGGATGTGAGGCACAAGGTTGGAACCAAGCAAGTCAATTTGGACGAAATTTTTCACACAGCAGCTGTGAGAAGCTTGGACATGCCACTTGAAGAGGAAGACATGGATCTAGCAAGGCAAATTCAAGTGCAAAAGATCCCTCCAAGCATCATTGAGCCACCCAATCTGGAGTTGAAGCCACTTCCTTCACATCTTAAGTATTCTTACTTAAGAAATGGTAATCAACTTCCTATTATTGTTTCTTCTTCACTAACCCCTATGGAAGAGTCTTTATTGTGTGACGTAGTGAGGAAGAACATTGAGGCTATTGGGTGGACACTTGGAGACATTCCTGGAATTAGCCCTCAAACTTGCACACATAGGATCATGTTGGAGGAAAATGCCAAGGCAATAAGGCAGCCACAAAGGAGGTTGAATCCTCTCATACTTGATGTGGTAAAGAAGGAGGTCACCAAACTCTTGAGTGCAGGTATAATCTACCCTATTAGTGATAGTGAATGGGTGTCTCCGGTGCAAGTTGTGCCCAAGAAGAGTGGAATTACTGTGGTAAAGAATGAACATGATGAATTGATTCCTACTAGGGTACAAAATAGTTGGAGGGTATGCATTGATTATAGGAGGTTGAATGAGGCAACCAAGAAAGACCATTTCCCTCTCCCATTTATTGATCAAATGTTAGAAAGATTAGGGGGGAAATCTCATTATTGCTTTCTTGATGGATATAGTGGTTATTTTCAGATTTGCATTGATCCGGTTGATCAACACAAAACCACTTTCACTTGCCCATTTGGTACCTTTGCATATAGAAGAATGCCTTTTGGATTGTGTAATGCTCCAGGGACCTTCAAAGATGCATGTTTGGTATTTTTAGTGATTTTATTGAAAATTGCATGGAAGTGTTCATGGATGATTTCACAATTCATGGGGATTCTTATTCTTCTTGCTTGAGAAATCTTGATAAAGTCCTTGCTAGATGTGTGGAGAAGAACTTGGTTTTGAACTTTGAGAAGTGCCATTTTATGGTTGAGCAAGGGATTGTCTTGGGCCACTTGGTTTCAAGCCGTGGCATTGAGGTGGATAGGGCCAAAATTGAAGTGATTTCATCTCTGCCCTATCCAACTAATGTCAAGGACTTGAGATCTTTCCTTGGCCATGTGGGTTTTTATAGAAGATTTATTAAAAATTTTTCAAAGATTGCACATCCCTTGTCTCAATTACTTCAAAAAGATGTCAAATTTGAGTTCTCTCCAAGTTGTAGAGATGCATTTGATGCTTTGAAGGCTAAGCTTGTTTCCCCTCCTATTTTGAGGAGTCCTAATTGGTTGAACCCATTTGAGATTTCATGTGATGCCTCTAATTTTGTTGTTGGGGCTATGTTGGGACAAAGGGAAAACAAGCTACCTTATGTCATTGCATATGCATCTAGGACTTTAGACAAAGCACAATGCAATTACACTACAACTGAAAAAAAATTGTATGCATTAGTGTTTGCTCTTGACAAGTTTAGATCTTACTTGTTGCATTCCAAGGTTGTTTGTTTTACAGATCATGCGGCCTTGAAGTACCTTTTAAAGAAGAAGGACACCAAGCCACGTTTGCTTAGATGGATGCTTCTACTTCAAGAGTTCAATTTGGAGATCATTGATAGGAGTGGAGCAACAAATCATGTGGCGGATCACTTGAGTCGATTGCATTATGACTCCATTATGGTGAATTCCTCTTTTGATTTCCCTTGTGATGAGTTTAGGGACGAGTCATTATGTGCTATTTCTTCCCATGATGTTGTTTGGTATTCTGATTTGGTCAATTTGTTGGTGCATAATGTGTTTCCAAATGGGATTACTAGACATGCTAGGGAGAAGCTTGCTAGGGAAAGTAGATACTATGTTTGGGATTCACCTACTCTTTGGAGATTGTGTAGTGATGGTGTCATTAGGAGATGTGTTCCTGATGTTGAGATTGATGATGTGTTGAGGATGTGTCATACTTATGCATGTGGTGGTCATTTTGGGGTTAGGAGGACCGGACAGAAGGTCTTAGATTGTGGTTTATATTGGCCATCTCTTTTTAAAGATGCACATCAATTTTGCAAAGCATGTCATGCATGTCAACATTTTGGGAGTTTAGGAAAGAGACATGAAATGCCACAGGTGCCCATTATATTTTGTGAGATCTTTGATGTTTGGGGTATGGATTTCATGGGTCCTTTTCCCTCTTCCAATGGTTGTGAATATATATTGCTCTGTGTTGATTTTGTTTCTAGGTGGGTTGAGGCTATCCCCACTAGAACTAATGATGCCAAAGTTTCTTTTGTCTCATGTGTTTTACGGGTTTGGCATCCCAAGAGCAATCATCACAGACCAAGGGACACACTTTTGCAACAAGACTATCTCCTCTTTGCTTCAGAAATATGGTGTTCTACACAAGGTGGCAACCCCATATCATCCTCAAACAAATGGGTTGGCCGAGTATTCGAACAAGGAGATCAAGTCTATCCTCCAAAAGATTGTGAGACCGAATAGGAAGGATTGGAGCTCAAGACTTGAGGAGGCTCTTTGGGCATACCGGACTGCCTTCAAGACACCCATTGGAATGTCTCCATTTAGGTTGGTCTATGGTAAGCAATGTCACCTCCCGGTAGAGATTGAGCACAAAGCCTATTGGGCTGTGAAGGCTTGTGCATTTGGTGAGGAGGGTGTAGCTGCCTCTAGGAAGCTCCAACTTCAAGAATTGGAGGAGTTGAGATTGGAAGCATATGAGAGCTCTAAATTGTACAAGGAAAGAGCAAAATTCATTCATGATAAATGTATTTTGAGGAAGCATTTTCAAGTGGGAGATAAAGTGCTTAAGTTCAAGACAAGGCTCATGCTCATTGGTGGCAAACTTCAATCCAAATGGGAGGGCCCTTACATTGTGGAGGAAATTTTTGACTATGGCACTCTCACCCTCAAAGATCCTCAAAGTGGCTTAACATTCAAGGCAAATGGCCACTTGTGCAAGAAATTTCATGAGGGTGAATCTTCCACATTGCTTGCTGAAATGAGATTCAAAGATCCTCCATGAGTCTTCAAAGGTTGTATCTCTCCTTATTTCTTTTTGATTGATTTGATTGATTCACAAAGCACACAAGTGGAGCACTACTTGGGATATGCTTGCTGTCACATATGCACACATGTGGTACACCATTCTTTGCTTGTGTTTGTGTTTGTGAATATCATTTTGAGTTCAAGTGTGGGGGGAGATGCAACCTGATTCATTAGGTTTAGAAAAACAAAAACAAAACAAAAAACAAAATTCCTTTTGCATTGTTATGTTAGTTTTTGTTGTTTCTTTGTTTTCCTTTGTTTCCCTTTGCTGTTTAGTTTAGGGTTTTCGAAAGAAAAAAAAATTTTGACCTTTTTTTCCACACTTGTACATGCTGTACAAATTTGATTTAATTCTTCCCATTATGTGTTTTGCATGCATTAGGGACAATGCATTGTTTAAGTGTGGGGGAAAGTGTGTTTTTGAAAAAAAAAACTTTTGTTTTGCGAGCAATCTTGAGTATTGAAGATGATCTTAGTTTTTGCATTTGAAGTTTGAACTTTTGAGATGTTGCTTTCTTTAGCTTAAATCTGTTTTGAAGCAAGAAATCATTTGGTTTAGTGTAATTGATTAAGAGAGGAAATAATAGACTATATGGAAGGGGCCTTCAACTGTTGAGAGTTTCTATGTTCCTTGGTTTTGTTAATCCTCTAGAACTTGTTTTCTCTCTTACTTGAGGCTACACTTGTGCATTGGTTGTAGGGAAAATGATTATGGCCATCATTAAAGTGCCAAAGGCCTTTTAGCTAACCCTTGATTACTTGATTGTCCTTTGTTTAGCCAAATTGAGCCTTCTATTGTTTTGTCATTTTTAAACACTTGACCTATTTTGGATAGATTGCATGTATTTTCATTTGGTATGTTTCAATGTACATTGACTATTTTTAATTTAACTAGTAGATAACATCTATTGGAATCTATTTCATTCATTCACATTGGCCATGCCATTTTATTTTTATGATTAGGAACATTTCTTGAGCTGTACCCAAATGTTAGAAGTTATGCTTGAAAAAAAAAGGAAAAAAAAAACGAAATTAAGAAGAAACAGAAAGAGAAAAAAAACAAAACAAAGAAAGAAGAAAAAAAAAGATTGTAGAAAAAGAAAATATATTTGAGAAAAAAAAAGAGATCCAAAGTGGATCAAAGAAAAGCAAAAGAAAGAGTTTGGATAAGCAAGTTTCCTTAGGTTTGCTATTTGATTTAGTTGTTCCTATTTGTAGATTCTCATTTCATCTCATTCTTGGCCAATTATTCATTCCATCCATGATCCTTATTACGTTATCTATTTGGTTTGGTTTTAAGTAGTCTTGTATATTGAGCATACCTACATTGTGGCCAAGACAAGTTTCTTGAGCCAAACCCTACCCCTTTCACATGCAAGTCTAAGTGTACCATTCATTGAGCACATTACATCCTTTGAAAGTCCATATGATTCTTGAGAACCCTTGCATCTTAGTAGTGGAGAGATAGAGGGATTACAAGCCTATGGTAGGATGACTTGTCAAGGAACTTGAGTGATATTTGTACCCTTATACATCGAGTGCTAGAGTGAAACACTAATCAAGTGAGGTTTCTCTTTGAGATTACATTCTTGCAAATGGTTACTTGTGATGTATTCAGGTTTTCTCTAAAGATTGCAACATTGATTTAGTTCTTATTTGAGTGCATTCACGTTGAGATTTAGATTTACTCTTGAGAGTTTGCATCTTTGTGTGGTTTTCTTTTCTAGGTTTTAGAGAGTTTTGCCCAGAGAGCAAAATCCAAGTGTGGGGGAATTGATCTATCTCATATTTTACATGTTATACACTTGGTTTTTGACATCAAATTGTGCATAATAGGGTTTAATTTCTAGTTTTGAGTTGTCATTTCTATATTAACTCTATGAACCCTAATAATGCTATTTGATGATTGTTTTGATACCCTAATTGTGATCTTGGGCCTTAATTCTCTTTTCTTTCCTTTTTAATTGTCTTTTCAAGATTTATTTAGTTTTGTATCTTTTATTTTCAGACTCTTGAGGAAGCAAATTTGGAATCAAGGAGCAATGACTAAAGTCAACCTCATTGGAGAATTCAAGAGCAAGAGAGAGAGGGCTTATTTGGAATTTTAATTCTAGAATTGAAGAGGCTGTGATATTGGCACCTAATTTCAGAAATTAATTGGAGGAATTAATTAAATAAAATATTAGGAGCATGTGTGTGACTTTGTGCGTGACTCAAATCTGATTTCAAGAAGCATTGCATGACATCATCAAGGGAAAACAAGGAAGCATTTGGTGCGTGATATAATGCTGATTCAAAGAAGGCATTGGGTGACATCATCATGAGGATTAACCAAGAATATAAGATGCGTGACTTCATAACTGAATCCCTGAAGAGTTACGTGGCAGCTGGCTGAAGCTTAATTGAAGTCACATGGTCTACACTTCATTCACAATTTCCATGCTTCCTTGTCCAGATCAGATTGGCGCCATTCTTCCTCTGATTTTCCAGAATTATTTGCTCAATTTTTAATTCATTTTCCAGCTCATAATTAGCCACATTCAGATCTGGAACTTTGGTTTCATCACCATTTAGCTTTGGAATTATCAACCATTCACATTATTCACACATACATAAGCCTAGATTTCAGACTAGAGTCTCATTCTACACATTGATCCTCTCTCTCTAGGTCTGATTTCTCTCATCTCCAGCCTCCACAATTCACGCCATTCCTCAAGTATTGGGAGTTCCAGATCTGGTTCTCCTCCATTTCAAGCTCCAAGTTCGTTTTTCCAGCATCAATCCAGATTGTTCATCAAGTGTTCATTATCAATTCCATCATTCCAGATTTGTTCCTTCATTTCCTTCATCATTTTTTCCTTCAATTTTCGTTCATGTTCTTCCATTGCCCAGACTTGTTTCTTGTCTCTCCTCTTTGATTCTTCCACCTTGTGTCATTCTCTTCCCCATTGTTCATCAATTTCGTTCCTCATCTTTCCAATTCCAGCATTAATTTTGTCCATATTCAGTCACATATTTTCCAGATTCAAGATGTCTTCTCAAGCCCAAGGTCTGATTCAAGCAAAGAGGAAGAGCATGAGAGGCTGATCATTTAGAGCTCCAAGAAAGATGACTTGACATTATGAGATTTCCAGATTTGTAATTGTTGTTCATTTTCTTGATTTCATGTTCTTGTCTTGATTCTTTGAGGATTTCGAATTTTGAACCTGTTTTGGTTGAAGACTTTGTGATTCTAATTCAGATTTGATGAGAATATGAATGTTGAATTTAGATTTTCATGCTATTTTCAGTTCTGGAATTTATGATTTACCTTGATGTTCTAGGGTTATTTCATAAGTTCTTGCTGATTATTGTTCAAGTTCTTGTGTAGACTTGAGTTAGATCCATATTAGTTATATGAATTTGACTTAAGCTGTTTTTCTTCCACTAGTTTTGGTCTGAAACTTGTGTAGAACAAGGCTGAATATAGTGTTAATTTCTAAGTTCACTTGACCTAGATTCATTAGTGTCCATTGAGTCTAATGGTGCACCACACTTAGAGGTTTCTAAGTGTCTCATTTTAGGTTAATCAAGAAGGTTTATGATGTTATAATTCTGAAAATCAATGATTAATGTTCGGAAATCTGACTTGGGCTCACCATAATCATCATTCATTTCATTCCAACTAAAACAGAATTTTACAAACATTTATTGTTGTATTATAGAGTTAGTTTAGTCACTTGAAAATTTAGATTAATTTGTAAGCATTTGAACAATGATTTGTATGCTTTGCTCTCTAGGGAAATGACCTAGAATACTCACTTCTACATTCTAGTAAAATTTGATAACCCAAGGCGACTAAAGGGTTCATCAAAGGGCTTTCATCTTATATATATACATATATAATATAATAATGTTAGCTTGCTTCATGACATACTTAGTCAAGTGATACTATTCAAGAGGCATCTTATAGCCTTATATCTATTTTGGATAATAAAAATCTAGATTAACACTTAATAGTCTAATTTGAAAGGAAAAAAAGGGGGAAATTTTGAAGTCCTTTAGGATAGCTTTAAGGTACCAAAGTAATTTTAGAGTCACCTCAGAATGGTTTTAGGGTAATATTTAATAACTTTAATTATATCTGAATATTTTTGTGTGTATGTGATTTTTGTAGAATCTTACTAAGAGCTTTTAATTGCTTGGATTTTTGCTGTGGGACTACTTGTTAGCTCAAGGAGAATAGGTAACTTGGGGTTTTTTCGTATGTGTGCAAGCTTAGTTTTTGATAACAAATACGTATAATTGTAAATTTAATTATGAGAATTTCATATGTTATTGAATGCTATCAAGCATGCTTATAGCTTTGCTATATATTATTGTGGGTGTTTCTTTTCAAGCATGCTTATGAATGCATATTAATAATGTTTGTTTGATGGAAATTGTATATTGTTTAAGAGTAGCTTATTTCTTTCAAGCATGCTTGTAAATTGAGTTGATCGAATGAGATATTTATATTTATTTTCAAGCATGCTAGTATGCCATGTGAATGTTGTATATGTGCGGCATCCATTAGGGGATGGGTTGATGAGAAGATGTTGATGTTGATGTATATATATGATTTAGATGACCACGTATTTCGTCTCCACTGTGCGCATAGTGGTTGGCCTTTTTCAAAACCCCGTTCCTCAATACTTACCTGGCCGGGTTTGTAAAGGGGGAATGTGGGATAGTGACACCTCCTAGTTGGGGTTGTTCAAGGAGGGGAGCCATAGTCTGGGCTTAGGCTCTGTACCTTTGGCCAGGTATATCTCAAGCACTAGAGAAGCTTGGTTAGTCTAGCGTGTGGGCCAGATCATATTTAAGCCTATGGTTCCAGTTAGCGGAGTAAGGATGGATGGAGTAATAAGGGAGATATTTGGTACTATATAATGACATGTTATGAGCTATACTGTATGAAATTTTTATTTTATCACTAAATGATTCTTATGAACTCACTTGTATATTAGTTGTATAATTGTGTGGTTGTAGTTTGTGTATGTATGGTTAAACTTTGGGTTACTGAGATGCTAGTGCTTACCCCTTCTTTAACATTTTTTAGGATAAAGCCTAAGTAAGAATCAAGGGAAGGTGCTGAAGGAATGAGCCTTTGGCTCTCATACTCCTCACAGCACATGCAGGATTATATTTACTTTTCGCCATGACTAATACAATAGCAAAAAAAAACATTTAAAACCTCTTAGAATAGTTTCAGGATTACTATATAGCACAAAGAAGCAAATTGGGCAAACAAGAGCAATTAATATGCTATCATGACAGCCCCCTGAGCAAACCTTCAAGAGGTTCTAATTCACCATCTGGCCTTTGATTGAAGTAATTTCAAAGCTTACACATCACTTTTAAAGAGTACTAATAGTGTTCCAAATTTTAAAAAAATTCAACAATCGGGTTAAAATTTAGACATGTTACAAATTTGGCATTTTTGCTATCATGACAGCACCTTCGAACCAACTTCTAAAGTGCACCATTTTATCGTCCGACCTTCGATCAGAGCAATTCTAGAGCCCACACATCATATTTTTTGAACATGATTACCAAATTTTAAAAAGATATAATGATTGGATCAAAATTCATGCGTGTCCTAGCCTTAGTAATTGTTGCTATCATGATAGCAATATGACAACATCTCTGGACCAACTTCCAGAGTGTGCTATTTCTTCGTTCGATATCCGATTGGGTGATTCTAAAACCAACATGAAATATTATAAAATTTTTTACTTGTGACCCAAACTTTAAGAAAATTCAATGGTCGGATTGAAATTTGAACACCTAGATGCAAAAGTATCGCTTTTTGATAAAAACCATTTTTAAAATTTTCTAAATCTCATCATAAGAGTCACAAACTTGTGGGAACACTTTAGACACATCAAATAGAACTAAGAATACCTAATAGAACTTTCAAATGATTGAGAAATCCCTTGTATCAATATTTGATCACTCGAGTGCCATTTTTTAAAATGGACAATAAACCCTTAAAATGTACAAATCACAAAAGACTGATCAAAAACTAATTCAAACACTATATACTCATATAAATACACCTGCTAAACATTTTTACTTGGCTCAGAGATCTCTATGGGGCCCACACACCTACTCTCTCTATCTAAGGTGGATGTTTGCCTATAGCACACAATTCCTAATGCAACTACTTTACTTTTGCTTATAGAATCACATATATTCACACATATACCAAAATATATATATATTTGCTTGTAGTAAAAACTTAGTCTACCAAATGAATCCATCAAAACCACACACCATAACCAAGTTTCTTAGCTACAAGTCTACAAGCAAATAAAAATTTATGCACAAGCACACAACCCACACATATTCACATTTATATATAGTCACATCCTACTGGCACCCTAACCTAAATACATTACAATGAACTTGCTCAAAAGGAAGGGGTTACAGTTCTTTACAAATTATAAGTAAACCCCTAACTTAGCTCTTTTCCCCGTCCACCACTGGATCCTTCACCTGGATTTGTAAATATTGCAAAGAAAGGGGTGAGACAACCACAGTCTTAATAATTGAGAAATTGATAATCCTTATTACAAGGAGAGCTATAGTCAAGCAAATAAATAATAGATTCAAAATAACATATAACAAATCAATTAAAATGCTTGAATGCATGAGATAGGCTAATATGGCCTTTCCTGACCAATAGAATGCCCTTGGCACTCTTTAACTTATAGGTAAACCTTACATCTACTATACCTCCATATGAACAAAATATAAACCAAGGTATGATTTAATCCACTGAACTACCTGTGCCCCTTTGACATCAATCTTGAGTATTCAAAACTAACTTCCTTCCAGAGCCAACCTGACTTACTCTCCATGTGAGGGCTACCTCAACCTAAGCACTCAACCTCACACTTTATATGCTGAATTCTCTCTCCCATTGAGAGGTGTTGAACACTCAATCCACTAATCACTTTAGAGTACTAAGCCCACAATACAAAAGGCAACACTAAGTACTGACAGTGAGCTATAGAGTATCACAAGACCACATCTCTTAATTAGCAAACTCTCACTAAGATCATACCTCCTACCCTTTTCTACCTTTCCTGAGTATTGATCACTTCAACACTCTAAGGTAGTATAACAATCATAATTCATCTCTTAAGCAATTTATTAACCCATCTAAGGTACCAAACATAGTTGCAATTCCTAAGTAGAACTTCTCTTTTTTATGACCACAATGCATGCTAATAATCTTATTTATATAAATAACATCATTATTAAGTAGATAGTAAACATAGATGCATTATTATTAAATTAATACCCTATAAACCCTTCTAAAACACATTTTGTTTGCATTTAATTATTTAAAACATGCAATGCATATTGGATAATATTATTTACTCAAAAATAGCTAAACAAAATGATAAGAAATATAAATTCCCTTGTTACTTCAATCCTTTTGTACTAAAAGGGTTCTCCTTATGTAAAAATAAGACTTGGCCTATCCTTTAACTTTCAAACAAATTTCACCAACAATCCCTATAACATATAAGTGATACACATTACTTATCATAGCAAATAGCATAAAGAAGACTATAACTCATATCACACAACTTGGGTCATTGAGCTATAATCCATTCCAATGGTCTATATATTAAACCAACCATTCACATAGTATCACTTAACCACTAAAACCATTTATTAGCCATTATTAAGTCAATTTTCAAACCATACAATTTTTAATCAACCAAAAACCTTCACTTAGTGTTATCAACTTTCACAATTAGCCCTTATAATGAAAATCAAAATTCAATTTAAATCTTATTGAATTCAAATAGCACATTTATAACTAAATCAATAGGATTAAACCATTAAAGAGAAAAAAAACCCAATCCTTTAGGGTTTGATTTTTGCCCTAAAACTCCTTTTTTATCCAATTGCCCACTCAAAATATTAGAGCACTATATAGAAACTTAAAACAATCTCCCTAGGACTAAAGGAAATCAAAGTTTACAAGAACAAAGCCTTTGGGATCAAAATCCAAAATTTACCTCTTTCAAAAACTCAAGAAAACTAAGAGGGAAGGAAGAAGATTAAAGTAGGGAGTTTACCTATCATGTAGCTGAGCTCACAATAGCTTTAAAGCCTCCCAGATCCCCTCTCTAGTTCCCTCTTTTCTTCCTCTCTCTCTCTCTCATGCTCTTTGTTTCTTTGTTTCATTTCAACATTTCTACGTGCTATTTATATTTAAAAAAACTAAACTAAAC